AAATGACTTAATTTCATACAAGGTGGTAGAAATTTAATGCCGAATTTAGTCAACTTTAAACCATCTTAATTTATTTTTTGTAAATGGAACACCCTGTATATTTTTGAGCAACCTTGTTGAACAATTTTGTTCTCTTTCGAATGGTATAATGCTTCCCTATACATATCTCTTCTGGTTGAAAAAAAAAATAAATATATCAAAAACGGTTAACTTTAAGAATAGGGAACCTTTATGAAAATTCACGTAGAATCCAAAATTGCAATAATGTACAGGGTGTCCCATTTAAAATAACGAAGTATAACCGGAAGCATTAGGTGGACGTCATTATTTTAGTTGAAAAGGACATGCCCGGAAACACCATTGCCCAAATTTTCAAAATTAAAATCGAAGTCGACTCTGAAGTATGTCTAATGTGTCGTCACCCTGTATTTTCTGGCATCTGCTTAATCTATGCAGATAAAAGCGTAGGTACTTTTTATTCGTAAATACGAGAATATCAGTCAATGATCCGTGAAAAATTATTTACCGGAGTAGCCCGTGGAGCAATTTGCTTCGCGCATAATACATGTTGTGAGGAGGTAATTTATTTGTGATGCAATATGCAGTCTGTATGGAATTCTGAAGTGTGTGTGTGCTGCTGGCGTTCAGTGATTTATTAAAAGTAAATTTGATACTACAACGCAACACAATTTTCAGCAGCCAGTTTCTTATTAAAGCAGCATAAAAGTGATGATAAAAAGTTTGTCGTGAACTTACATCGTTTGAAAAAGAAGTCCCGGAAAGGCTTTTCGCTACTTCAACACAAGTACGCCAAACTATTCCTCGCTTTATCGGCGAACTGTTTTTAGTCAGCAATAAAACGAAAAAACTTATAGCAGTGGGTTATTTTTATTCGATACCCAGTAGAATAAGGGCGGTATCGTTGATTTTATTTCACGGTAGGTAGAACGTTCTAACAAAACTTAGTAGCGACTTAGTACGTTGTCATTGCTTGAAAATATATAGAAACAGTAGAAATAGGGCTATTTATCATAATTTCAAAGCGAAATTGGCAATAGGCTAGAAGAAAAAAAATATAATAATAGGACAATCATAAATTTAGTAATTTCTGAACTTTTTTAACTTTTAGTTTAGCTTTGATAGTTTTTAACGACCTTTTTAACGTGCGCGATATTAAGTTATGTGTTTTAGTATTTTCTGTTTCTCCGCTTTTTTCACTGGAAAATTTGTTTGGTTAGGCAAATCTATTTTAATAAAAATAACCCTTGACTGATCCATTTGGCGCAAGTATTTATGTAACTGCTTTTTTTAGTTTTTTCAGATTTCAAAATACCCAAAACTGTAAAGTCTTCGTATAAGAACTTCGTAAACGTCATCGGAAATATTATTTATAAAATTGGGCCCATCCAAACTCGGTTAAGACATTAATTAAACGTTTTCCTCGGCTCTGGTAACTCAATAAAAAATCTCTTAATTCACTTCCTACGAAGGCGGAAATTGAATCCTATGAATTTCCACTGCAGCAGAAAATTAAAGTCGGCCTTAATAGAGACATTTCTCCACCGATATAATTTCTAATCAGTTGTCAACCGATCTCGGGAAAAATATCTAGACCCACATAAAACCCGCGCTATGCGGAAGCTTGATGTCCATGATAATTTCTAATTCTGATAAAATCACTACAACAACCTCTAATTTATATCGCGTGACTGGATTCCGACTACATCCGTAATAACGCATACGTTGTTTAATAATGAAACTGGAATTAAAACATGTCTGCCACAATGAAGTACATATTTTTTGTTAAAGTAATTGCGCTAATTTAATTGTTATAAGGGGTGTCCGGTATTTACTAAACCCTCGGAAGTATGTAGATGGTGAGAAAACAATACTAGGTCAAGTTGGACACAAATAAACTGAAATATAAATTAAACACTCCATAATTTTGTACTTCTGTGCTAATTTAATTCCTGCATTGTTAATAAAAGACCGTAAAACTATTTATGCAAAACCTTTAAAAATCATATTCAATTCTATAATTACACATACCTAGAGATTATCCACAAGTATGGAAAGAGTCGCGAATATGCCCCGTTTATAAAAAAGGTACTAAGAACGACATAACTAACTACCGGCCCATAGCTATTATAAGTAACTTCTCAAAAATCCTAGAAATAATTTTACACAATCGACTTCATTTTCATATTCAAAAATCAATATCTCCGTACCAACATGGATTTATGAGTGGTCGTTCAACTAACTCAAATCTAGTTGAGAAAACCCAATTTATTGCTGAAGCTTTGGATGCAGGAAGTCAGGTTGATGTGTAAGTATACCGATTTTTCCAAATCTTTCGATCATATTTTATTAACATTGAAATTGGAGTCATATGGTATATCCCCTGCTCTCTTATCTCTATTTAAATCATATTTTAGTAATAGGTACCAATTTGTGCAGTATCGAGGCTTTCGATCATGTAAATTCCATCAATCTTTAGGAGTTCCGCAAGGGTCAATCCTGGGACCACTGTTATTTATTATTTTTATTAATGACTTAACTGAATGCCTCGATGTTAACTATTTACTCTATGCGGACGATCTAAAGTTATTCTTGGAAGTTAAATCCTCTACTGATTGTACTACATTACAAGTTAATCTTGACATGTAATAATAATCTACCTCTGAATGTCAGTAAATGTAAATTTATGACTTACAGTCGATGCAAAACTAATCTAGATTTTGATTATAAAATTGGTGAATCTTTTTTAAATAAAGTTACTTAATTTACGGACCTTGGTGTTACTTTCGATACCAGATTATCGTTTGACGAGCACATTAGTTTAGTAACCAAATCTGCTTATAAGAATTTAGGCTATATTTTGCGTAATTCTAAGAACTTTCAGAACGTAAAGGTTCTAAATATATTGTACGCACCATTTGTGCGTTGCTAATTTAAATATACATCGGTTGTTTGCAGTCGCATTTATAATATTTATTATATTCAATTAGAGAAAGTACAACGAAGATTTTTAAAGATTATTAATTTTTTTTGTTGTGGATTTTATCCTCCCCGTGGTACATCTCAAGATTTATTGCTTTCCTGTTTTAATTTTAATAGTCTCTGTCGTAGGCGAATTATGTTTTCAATTATATTCCTTTTTAAAATCATAAATAACACGTTAAATGCAGACTCGTTAGTCTCAAGGATTTTATATCATGCTCCTAGACTTAATTCTAGATTTCACTCCGTTTTATAATTACCCACACCTCGTACCAATTTACTAATAGCATCTCCCCTATATAAAAAGATTTCCAATTACCAGAAATATGAAGATCGACTTAATATATTTTTTCATTCTATGAATGACATATAAAATTTGTTTGTCTAGCAAATGTAATCCTTATCTTGTATATGTTAGTTCATTTATTTTAAATGTCTGTTATTGTTTATACTTAAGTTCTTTGTCTGGATTATTGTATTTTATATTTTGATTGCTGTATGTTATGTAGTAATTCTATTTTTATATTTAATGTTAGTTTGTCTTTTTCTTTTAAAATTTAGTTAAGGTTTTCTGTTTTACCTTATCCTGTAATTGGGACTTTGTCCTGTTGGATATTGTAACTTCTAAATAAATAAATAAATAAATAAATAAATTTGTGTCATATATTATAAATTCGGTGCTCTGTTGAACTATTTTCTTTCATGTATTGCCAAATTTTGTGCTTTGGTTTTGATATATATGGAACACTACAAGGGATCGACAATATGACGTTGCGACTCATACATACGAATTTAAAAACATTAACAGTTGCACGAGTATTTTTGCTCATTTTGTGCTAATTTGTTCTGTGACTTCAAAATTTTGAGCTCCATCCATTTTCAAAACATTTACTACAGAGCTGAGTTTTTTAATGATGCTTTATAGAGAATGATTGGGTTCATTCTGTGCTAATTTGCGCTGTGGTTTAAAAATTTTGTGCTCGATAGCTTTTTAAGAAACTTGTGAGGATATGCTATGTACAATGAACTACCATGAATTTTTTGGTTTGACGTCGATTTAATCTAATGTTATTTCTCTTGTTTCCTTTCGGGCATCAATGTTGGAGAAACAAAATTATTTTCCACTTAACTGTAAAATGTTTTGTCATATTTAAAGCAAAATTTGTTATTCTATTAATTGAATATACATATAATCTTTTGAAGTAGTAACATAGTAATTTTATTTGAAGGAATGGGCAAAATATCCCCAGAGAGATCCCCAAAACAGACATACAAACCATCTACCGGGGTTTTTATGATCGGAACTTTATAGACGAAAAATAACTAGCATCCCCAGCAATTTTCAATTTTGACCGAGACATTTTAATGTTCAAAAATGTTGGTCGGAGCGTTAGTCCGCAGAGTAGTTATTTCCTATAACGTCATTAATTAAAAATCTAATTTAGAGACTTGGTATGACTTGGTTAAATTAGAATAACACATGTTTTTAATAGAACTAATTTTTTCATATTTCAGTTAAGTTTCATAGTATGCATTACGATGTCCTATTTAGTTTAACAAATCTTAACGAGAACATTTTTATTTACATGAGAATAGTTTACCCCGCATATTTGTACAAAAACGGATGAGAAACTCATAACTCTTTTCTTAAAGAAATATAGGTCAATTATTAGTTTTACTTAATAACTTGCAATAATTGCAATACACATTTTGGTGAGTAGGTAATGAAATATAACGTTCAACTTAATTATATTTTAACTTAAAGCACGTAACGATAAATCTTCAATTTATCTGAAGATATCAAACTATTGCAGAATTATCTGACATATGGATGAGAAGTCGTTCGGTTTATATAAATATTTATGCAGATGCAATAAATTTTGGCGAGTTTTAACCTCACAGAAAAATTATTATGATTTATCGGAACGTGTGCAATTGGATAAGACAAGAACTTTGTTCGCAAATCGTAAAAATATTAATTACTTTTTTTTTTGTTCCAGGGATTATTACTACGACAGGTAAGTGTCAACTGTAGATAAATAAATTAAAGCTACCTTCGTCTTTAACTGTAATCAGTGGCGTATGCAAGGGAAGGGGTCGGAACCTTCCTAACAAATAATTCCATAGCTTTCTCTTGTAAGCGCAAGACAATCGGCATTGGTAATTACAGAAATATTGCAAATTATTAAAATTTGCATATATTTTGTATGTCCCTAAATATATTTTATAATCTAAAATAAATATTTTTTGACGAATGACATTTTCTTTGTGACAGCGGCAATTTTAAATGAAATCCTTGTATTGCTATGTGAAAACTAAAAAATAATTTGCTGTTTTATGATGAAATTTTAATGAAATAGAAGTATGAGTTTAAAAAATGCAACATTTCTGACTCAAGATGAAATAAATTATTTCGTTCATGAATGTGTCAGTAAAAATGGCAATTTTTCAAAATACTACTTCAAACTCATATACATTTGAATATAGAGATGTTCTTACTGTTGGTGGATATAAAAGTGACGATTTTCTATTTTTAGTAGAAAATGCGATTTTCATTTTCATAACGAAAATCAGAATTATTATTAATTAACAATTTTCTAAACTAAAACACTAAACTAAGTTAGCATATTGCGATAAACAACTCTTTTTGTGGAGGCTATATTAGTTTCAGTACGGTAACAATGACACATTTATAGGTACTATTTTCCTTCTTTTTAACATATTACTGGAAACGTATTTCTTTTCTTTATTTAATCAAAACTAAAATCAACAGTAATATGTGGGTATCTTACGTTTAGAAACTGAATTTCATCAAATTACCTTTATAAAAAAATTCAATTCTGGCTCAAAATAAACAGTGCATATTCTAGATTTTTCATTATATTTCAGGAACTAATTGGAAGGTATCAGTTTGAATTCCAGAAAGAATTTCAGGAAAAGTACTAAATATTGTTTTGCAATATGTGTCATCATATATTTTAAATATAGTCCATACTATATTTGTTGATAATTCCAATTAAAGGATAAGCCAACAAAGTTCTGTTATCGGAACTACTGTAACAGTTTACCACGGGGGAGGCGTGTCTTGAAGTTTTCGGCGCTATTCATTTAGAAAAATTGTCGTAAAATAGTTATACACGTTGAACACGACTGTTTACTTCATAACTGCAACACACAGTATACACTGCAAGCTGCTACGGTGAATCCCACCCCGCCAATGTCTTTCTACATCAGGTGTAAAATGCGGTTAATTCCAAGAACGTGAAGCAGAGGTCTTCTTGGAATTCTATATTAACAAATATCGTACGGACTGTAGCTTGCGACACCTTTATAGCTATTAAATATGTAATAGTTTTAGCTCGGTATTTTTATTGACATCACAAGGAAAAAATATGTAAATGTATACTACCAATTCTTGTAATACGTTAAAATATTGCTAAATTTCAAATATTTGAGATGAGAACTATTTCTCAGTATTTTAAGTACATTATTTCAATTGACATGAAACTACGCGTATTATGATCGCGCTTTCACTCTTTAATCCCTTGTTGCTTACTACATCGCCGTTCTAGTCTCGCAAACTTTTTCCCTTTTGTCAGGTTTACTCACCATTAACCATCCATTTTTTCATTACCTTTCCTCTCACATTCGACGCAGCAGACGGTAACTGCTTTCATTTACACCTTTCCATCAGATCTTAGCAAGAACACGTGGTCAATCTTTTACCTAAAACTTTTTTATTTTCCTGATATTGTCTATAGCTAAGCTAAATATCTGTTTAACTTTATTTAATTTATTTAAGGTGATGTATGTATTATTAATAATATACCAGCGTTACAGCTCATAAAGGCATCTTGATTGTAATAAAAAATAAAAAACTATTTAAATATGTTCACAACGTAAACATTCGAGGATCGAAATTTCACCAAAGTAAGCATTAAGTTGGTGCACGTTAAGGCTATTAACGTTCATAACAGTGAAATTTGCATAACCGTGCTCAGTTATCATTGTAGCCGAAACTTTTGAATAGTTTACATAAGCTACTCTGTATTGCTAACAGGAATAAACTAGCCAAACTGAATTCTAAACAGTCTAGTTAAAAAAACACACTTGTAGGACACCTGTTATTTTAAGCCAATTACATACTGTAATTTCGATAGTTGCCCATGGCACCTTCAAATTTTTCGGAAATTTTTTTCCTCCTTCCAAGCTAGGCAAACAAAATTAATAAATAGAAATTTTTTTTGACAGCGATCATGTGGTTCAAAAATCAGTACCTATCCAGAATTTTGCTTTGTAATGTCTTTATTTAATTGAAAATAATAAATAGATACAAATAATTATTTACCAAATATTTGTTTCGAGATTTCTTCTATTAACGCTAAATGTTTTTGAAATTCTGGCCGGAACTCTTCTCTTCGCAACGGAGAGTAACGAGGAGCATAATTATTACCTTTATTTTTCATTTCCATCAGATTTGATGAAATTTTGTTCTGCTGAAAATTAAATGCTTTTTTTATTACTAAAGTGCAAGGATTGTGTTTTTTATGTTTTAATAAGAATCTTTGATAAACTGCCATAGACATCGCATTTCTACAAAAACTTATTTTTTTTCTATTTTAATAATACTAAGTGAATTATATTGCAAAGGTAAATATTTTAATTCAAAAATTAAATACCTCATTTATTACTAAAGTGAAAGGAACGTGTTGTTTTTTATGTTTTATTAAGAACCATTTTGTCTTAATAAAGATTGAAACATTTTTTTCAAGTTCAAACAGGTCAAATTTTTAAAATAAATTTTGGTTGTAAAATTTTCTTACCGAATCCCCCACGCCCTTGAATTAATGTCCGGAAATTTTTTCTCAATCACGCATTTTTCTAGAAAATGTTCCCTAGTCTGGGACTCGGGAAAATTTAAAAAAAAATGCGTACCTTCGGAAAAATTTCCGGAAATAATTCAAGCACTAGAGAGATTATAAGTGATAAGTTTTTACTTGAAAAATGTTGTAAAAGAGCACTGAAATTGTTTTCGCTAACCTGCAAGTCCAAAATGTTGTTTTTATATTTTTGTTTGTTGTAATAAATTTCGTTAAGCAAACCATTCATTTTTGCAATAAATATTAAACCATATCATTTTTGATTAGGCAATAAAAATACCTTTCAATTGAGGTATCACTCTTTCTTCTCATTTAAAAATTTAAGGGTTGCAACTGCCACTCGTAGAGAATTGAATTTGGGGATGAAATTTTTAGAAGATGGCATTTCAGAATCCGCAATCGACGTGTCTTGGCATATTTTATAAATGCGCACAATAATTGAGATACTGAATTTATTCCATTTGGCTGTTCGACACTGTATAATGCGAGGCCACACAAAATATTTTGATATACTTACAGGAAAAGTCGCAGTTCAGCTCAGGTATATTTTCCGTCTCTGGGGTTGTTTTGTATTTTTCCCAGCAGATATAGAATTTCAAACAAGATCAATAAACACCCGAAAATATCGGCTGGTCCCTGATACATCTGCAGTGGAAATTTTTATATTTGATATACACCGTTCCCCGTTATTACCCACTAAATTACACCCGAACAGAATCTGTTGGCCGTGGAAGGTGAACGTAAAAGTGCACGTACAATGCGCGAATGATTCTCTGGCGTTGTATATTCATTTCCTGTTTTAAAATAGAATGCAAAGCAACGTAAATAAAAGATGGTGATTGTTTGCAGCTAGCTTTACGGTAACGATACGAAGCGGCAAAAACTTAACGCTACCCGTTCCGCCAGGAGGAAAGTTCGCCGGAACGTCGGGTCCCCGGTTTCAGTCGAGCTTACCGTAAGCTGCTACATACAAATATATGCACTATGCTACGTGCATTGTGAACCCCGTACACGTCGGGCTCACGTACGGCTACGAATTTTTGTGTGAAATTTGTTTGCGTTAGGTATGATACACTAAACAATACAAATCAAATTTATAAGCCCGCGCTACCAGTGGAAACGTTTTTAAAGACCGAACTGAATGCTTTCGTACGCGAGACAGCCCAATTGTGTGTAGTAAATTTCAAAACTTAATTAAGGCAGTCTCATTTACGGGATTATAAAGCGGCTTTTTCTTACTTTTCGATACTGAATAATTTCTTTTGTATTGGGGAATATTAATTAAACGGCTTGTCAGGGTCCTTTGTCCGGCATAAGGACGGTAAAGCACTTTCACAACTTCATAAACGTCACCGGGTTTTTATTATTATTCCGATCGTTATTTGCTTGTTAAATACTACTTTCGTTTGAATTTTTGGAACAGGTCTTAATGTTTAAATTTATGTGATCAATTAAATCTAGCTTAAAAAGTAGGAATACATATAAAGCGCATTCATATACTTAAAGAGGTTTATCTGATTTGGAATTGACGAACAAATATTCATAAAAAATTAATATAAGCTTATTAATATGAAGAAAATCCTCAAAAAAATTATGACTAGTTTGGATATCTAAGAGATGAGATATTAATAAAATAATTTTTCACGATTTAGTCTTTCCACTTAGAATGCGCAGCAATTGACACAGTTTTTACGGCAACTCGTATAAATAGGAAACCGATATTTAAGGAACCGTATGACAGCTCGTAGATATCGTAGATACATAATTTATAATAATTTTCCTTCAAACTGCTGTTGTTGATTAACTTAACGTCCATATGCGTGATAGCGGCGACGCCGCGGTTCTCGACGTAGCGTATTATTTCAAATTTCTACCCAAAAATATAATTTCTTACTTTAAATATTATATTTTTACATATAAAATAAATATTTGAAACAGTTAAACGAATAGTCAAGGCGATATTTGTTTTAAAAAGGGGTATACTTAGGTAAAACGCATATGATCGGAGATTTTTGCTTTCACGGCCTCTAAATAACATCAGAAATTATATTTTTTTTTTCATGCAAATAAAAAAAACGTGGGCTTAATTGTTATTGCGAAAAAAGTATTAAAAAAAATTAATTTTTGTCTTGGATTTC